AAAAAAACGGGCGCAAGAGTCATGAATTTACTTCCTATATGAGCAGTCTTTTATTTCTCAATCCATATAGGGATCTTGTAAATGAAAAGTCCGATGGTTCAAACGAAACACTTGCAAAACGAGGAGAGTTCTCGAACTTACATCATAACAATAAATGAGAACATTGGATCTTAAAACAACGTGTTTCTTTCTCTTTCTTGTTGGAAACACATTGAGTCTCAGAGGAATGCTTGGTCCTCATAGCCTTCGAACTCATCGCCAGAGTTGGATATGGAAAACTTAGAACTGTACAATACCCCTCGTTAAAAGAATGAATTTCGAAGGTAATATCATAAGAGCACAATCGCCACAAACTTACTAGCCAATTTACGATGTAATTTACTGAGTAATTTAATTACATATTTAGATTAAGCAAAATAAGCTGTTCAGAAGAAAACTCATAGGAAGAAAAACAAAATTGTTAGCACTAAAAAAAGTGATTTTCCGAATTCGTAGCTGTGTATCTAAGTACTTTATGTTTCAATGTTGGAATCATATGGATTCTTTTTTGGTACACGGACGATCAATTATCTGAATAAGCATGACTTAGGTATAATACATGAAATATATCACACAGACTTCACTTATCATTTGTTGCTGGACCTTTCAAGAAAATCTCAATGGGAAAAATGTTTCTGCTCACGCTTTTTGTTAGGTAATGATGCGGTGGCCGGTATGTATGGAAGAAGTAACGTTTAAATTGCAGAAAAATGTTTTTGACCTCTATGAATATTGATATGAAGCAATTAGGCTCTTCGCTTGCTAAGGCCAGCTACTTGATCGTTGCCAATTTCATCTGAAAAAATTCATGTATTCCATTATCACATTAAATTATACGGCATTTCTGAGTGTGCATTCTGGTGGTTAGTGGGTCAGTTGGAAGCTGCGAAGACGGGACATAATTATTATTGAAAAATGACGTTCTCGCTATTAAAATATCCTAGACAGACGTGCTCTGTTGCCGTCAATGTCTTGCAGAAATACACGTTTGCTGAACTGCCAGGCTTCGTGAGAAACATGGCACAGCGAAAATTATTACATGTTCCGAGTCATCTTTGAATAAGTATCCTTTGACTGTAATATCTAGAATGCAAAAGAAATAATTCTACTTTATCTCTTTGAAAAGAAAAAAAAAATGTGATTTTTCATAAAACTCTGTTTACGTATTATGGATCTTTAAGTCCGCGTTCAAAAATTTTCATGGAAATCCCGCACTGAGAATCCACATTTAAGAATAACGATACATAACATTTTAGTAAGGAGTAAAGTTTAGTGGTCCAATATTTTTTCACTGGGGGGGGGGGCAAAANTTTTTTTTTTTTTTTTTTTTTTTTTTTTTTGTATTTGCCCAACAGTTTACCAGACATCTTTAGGCAAAGCATTCAGTCAAATTATTTATCTTTCAACAGTCATCGGGGATCGAAAAACTTAAGTGATCTGGTAAAATTAGTCAACCCTTTTGAAGCTCAAAGCTGAGAAAATTTCTTCTCTACCCACATCCACATCACTTTTAAATGTTACTCCTTTAGATAAATGTTCTCATTTTCCTATATTAAATGATCTGGATTTTTTTCTGTTTCAGCTACGAAACCGGAAACGGGATTGCCGCAGAAGAGGCCGGAGCTCTGGAGAACCCCGGAGTCCCCGAACAAGAGGCCATCGCAGTGACCGGCTTCTACCAATACACTGGCCCAGACGGCGTCCTCTACAAGGTCACCTACACCTCCGGCAAGAACGGTTTCGAGCCCCAAGGCGCCCACCTCCCAACCCCACCCCCAGTCCCAGAAGCCATCGCCAAGGCTCTCGCCTACATCGCATCTCAACCCCCACAGCCTGAAGGCGCCGGCAGCGCTCCCGTAGCCGCCTACCAAAGACCCTCCGCCGCCGCCCAACACGCCGCCCAGTACCAGCCCGCCGCCTCCGCCCCGCAACCCGCCTACAACGCCGCACCCGCCTACAAGACCCAGGCCACGTTTCCGTCGCAACCCGCCTACCAGGCCGCCGCCTCCGCCCCGCAGCCCGCCTACCAGCAATACCAGCCGGCCGCCTCTGCGCCGCAGCCCGCCTACCAAGCTGCCCCCTCTGCCCCGCAGCCCGCCTACCAACAATACCAGCCTGCTGCCTCCGCCCCACAGCCCGCCTACCAGGCTGCACCTAACGCCTACAACCCAGCCTCTGCTTTCCCCAAGCAGCGCGCCTACAGACGAGTAAACCGATCCCCCAACAGGCGTCAATTCAGAAACTACTAAAGGCGGATTGTAAAGTTGCTTGGCTGAGCTGAAGAATTACAGAATGGCCAAGGCTTTTGGTTCAAGCGGATTCCTCCTTTGCTTATTTACCGGAGTTCTTTTGAACCAAGAGCTTTGTCTTTCCAGCGAGTTCTATCGGAGACATAGTGATTTTTTTTAGCAATCCAAGCAATTACGTATAGATTTTATTGTAAATCGAGAATTCTTCGGCCATACGACGTCATCTCAACATGTTCGCATGAATGGTCAATTAGGCTGTCAATCATTTGGTTTTGAAATTGCAAGATCTCTGACTCTAACCTGTTGTTCATGTAAATGAATATTGTTACCATTATCAACCTCGAATTAAGGATATTAGTTTTTAAAAATTTGCACGCTTAAAACCCTTTGATTTTTAGCCCAATTTTGCTTTCCGTGCGAACTCTAACTAGGCAAACTAAGTGCTGATCTTGACTGGTCGATTCTAGTAATTGAGAAGAAATTGTTGAACATCCAGAGTAAATAACCAAGTTAAGCTGGAGCCAATGTCACACTAACCCTGTAAATTGGCTCTGAAAAACAGACTACAAACACAACTCTCTGTGGGATATAAAACCAATGAGCCCTTGAGCTTTCAAAAGCCACAATGATCTCCTGGCCATAAATAAAATCTAGGCCTCAAAAACCGGTGCCTCTTCTAGAAATTTTGCTTTCTTTTCTTTTTCTATGACTTTCGAATTGGTGGAGAAGTTTATCTACTACTTGAAAGACGAATCAGAGAGCGCAGAAAAATTTTTAGACTTGTCACTGGTTCTGATGCTTAACTTCAGTACATTCTGGAGCAAGCTGTGATTTGTGAGATCTCTCCCGCTAGGGAGAAAAATTGTCATTTTTTCAGGTTTCCTTTTCATAAAAGAAAATCTGAGATTAAGGAGCAATTAACCATGTACATTTCTTGTTTATATTTTTTCTATCTGCTTGTAACTGTATCCGATACTTAAAACTCGAAGAAGCAAAGCAACCAATCAAACTAGATGTGTCTTTTTTTCTAGTCTGTTCTACCTTTCCAGCCGTAAGCCTGGATAAGAGTGCAATTTTTCTCGAGGCGGGGTGACCCCCGCCTTGGATTTTCAAACGATTAATAAATTTTGAATGAATCCTACGTGCTTTTATTTTTTAAAGCCAATGAACCCTTATAAAGTATATTTTTGGAGTCACTCTCACATTTTGCGCCGAGTAAGTAATGTTGCACTCACGCCAGTAAGTACACAAAGAGATTGAGCTTCAAATAGTCTGAAGCTGACTTCTGGAATACTACTCCCTATCCACATCGTATTTTTCATAGAGAAGTTGGTTTTTACCCAAAAAGTATTATTGATGAAAAAGTTTCATAACGTCAAAATCGCTATCTGATTTACTAGGCATTTGAAATATTCTACTCACTCGAATTGTTTAAAAGAATATCCACAATCCCCAAATGCTTTCTGATAAATACGAACTAAACTTTTGTTAAAAATTAGTCCAACACTTTTAATCAGCAACTGCACGTAGTATATGAGTAAAAATAGTGGTCTGACACATTTTGTGTTCCAGACAGAGAGGTGGTGTGTTGGCCACGATGCGTTAAATGTAGCATGAAACCAATCATGCCCATAAGTGCTGGAAAAATCGGTCGCACAAATATGTGATGAAAAGGAAAAAAAAAAAAATCTACTTGAAAACCTAAAAATTACGGTAGCAAACACATCATCTTCCTGACTTCTCTTGTTCAGATACCACAAATATTGGTACCCGGCAAGTTCTATACATATTTGAGAATAAACAACGTTACATGTCTAAAAGATCGAACCATCTTACTTGAACAAGACAGTTACATATTGAAGAGAGTTCTCTGGCAAAATTGAACTTTTAAGTAGGAGAGCATGGTGTGAGTTGACGACAGGATCAGGGTTACCTTCACCGAGATCCTCATGATCACAACGGGGCAATAATCCACATTTCTGCCTTTTAAAACGGATAATGAGGGTTAAGAAAAAATACCGCCTGACTAACAATTTTGGCCGAAACGAGTTAGCAACTTCGCCGCATTATAAAGTTTAAAATATGCAAGCTGATATTTACAGTTTTTTTTTCAAGTCGGTGGGAGAAAGCTAAAATGACGCTGTAATACATGAAAAAATTGCAAATCTGACCTCAAAATTACTAAAATGGCGAAGTCTTCTATTTGTCCTGCAAAGTTGTGACTTCGCAGATAGGCGGTTTTGTTCGTTAGCCATCAAGAGCCTACGTCGTACTCAGGATGCAGATCATGTAGACATACTAACTGAATTGAAGTGGCACCATGAATTTTCAGGGCACTTACGTTGATCTCGTTCGTATTTACAAGCTGATTGTCAGCTTGCCCTGCTGTCACTAACAAATAGTCGACCAATGACATTAAAAAAGGACAAAAATTAAAATCACGTTTAAAACAGAGTTAATGAGATAATATGAGTATATTTTTCTTGCCTATGACTCATACATTTCTCGTTTGAAACAAAATCTAGTTTCCTGTATTCAAGATAGTGAATTCGAAAACGACTCAAGAATTAAAAGTTGCTCGCACTCATAGTTAGGGAAAGAAAGCTTGTCTAGAAAGTGGTATTTATTAGGAATCGTCAACATTTAGTGGAAATTTTCAAGTGCGCATCTGGCGTCGGCAATTATAATTGCCAGCAGTTTTTGAGCCAGTTCGGCTGAATTTTTTTATTACATATTATGAAAGTCCTTGGTGAAATGAGTATACAGAATTTTTTCCAGATTTTTTTGAGCCCTCTGGCTCTGAGAAATCTTACTTCAAAAACGCGAAAAATTGAAGGTCTCTGAAACGCTGTTTGAATCGCGCGGGCTGAGAGCTGACGTCACACTTTAGGTGGTGACCACCCTTGGTTTATTCCAAGTTAGTCCGAACAATATGGCTGCTGCCCGGTTTGTTTATTTAGCGAAAGTTTCTAGCTGTACATTGTGATTTAGTGGTAAAATTTGACGAGAAATTTGTTGAAACATTTGGTTTCGTCACAAATTAACTCTTTCTTGATGAAACAAGGCGTTAAAGTTCGCGAAATTTATTCACCGGGCGACCGCGAGTGAGCATCGGCTATCGGGAACGACGGGCTCGTAAACAAACGAAGATTGATAACAGGAAGGATCCAAACAACTCGGAATCTTTTAATTTTCTTTACCTTTAAACCATTTCTGACTTCTACAAAGCATCTGACAATCAGTTTTATCGTATTTTACAACCTTAAGCTAGAGTCTATCGGCTCATTGTGATGTGTATTCAGAGCATTCTGAAACAGAAAGTCAGTTCTCATAAGTTCACACCCAGACATTCTTTTCTTGGATCATTCGCTTTTCATTTTCGCCTCAAATCAAGTGTTTTGTAGTTTCCTTATCTGAAGTATGTGGTTTTGAATTCATACAAGAGTTTGAAGTTCACCTTTTTTTAGCATTAAAGCCTGTTGAGCCCTCAAACTTTACCGATATGATTACCTACAGTTCACGGTTCCTCTGGTCCGTACCAAGTGATTACACATCAAAGATGTGTCTTATGGTTCTTCAAATTAACAGTTCAGAAGTAAATTAGAGACTACAGTAACTTAATCCACTCCTGCCCTTTCCTTCAGTGTTTGTTCGTGTCTGTTCTTTATGCGTTACCACTCTAGTGCATACACCGGTAATGTAGGTTAGTTAGGTATTATCGCATATTTTCTACTAGCAGTACCTTCTCTTAAGCGTTGTAATTTAGCAAAGAAATTCCACCAGTTGCAGAAAATTGTGTGCGTAATGAATAAGTGAATATGAATACCTCCTTTTGGTGACTCAAAGTTTCTCAGATCCGTCTCAAGGAGGTTTTGCATGTAGGTGCATGATCAGTTTTGCCAGATGAAATTACTGCTCTTGCAGCTTCAAATGTATACTTTGATCTCTGATTCACTAATAAATGACACTTTATGGTGTCATTTATATTTAATCAGTTCAAAGCTAATTCGACAAGGAATCATCAAAGGTCCGATGGAGGAAGGAATTTTCCGGTGAGTGCCACGGCTGAATCAACATTCCAACTAGACTTGCGAAGGTATCAACCCAAACAGATTCATGAGGAAGTGATACCTATATGGTAAGTGGTAATTCTATTAAGGCTCTTTCATTTCTTAGGTGCGGTGTGCATTAAAAATTTCTAAATCTGCTCATCTGCAGTCATATACTTGAAGAGGAGTACAACATGAAATGTAGGTGAAGTAACGAAATCGTGGGAATGAGGTAATCCTACAGCTTCTCTCCACTGAGACACGGACGAAGTAATCTGAAAGCCTTAAGCTGGAAGTTGCTAATGATGGAGGTTCCATGGTGTTTTTCCTGCCTTGAAAGATAAGGTTGTGCTGCAGGCCTTAAGCACTATGGAAAATTTGAAATATTGTGATTTTAAACGCAGGCTCCACTTCATCTAAGAATATGGAAATCGGTCTCAAGTGCTTTCTCCGATAACTTTCAGAGTTTTTATTTTCATATTTAAGAGACAATTATGAGATGATTATCCTACTATTCCTGGTATTTCTGATTGAGAGTCAACTTGTTCACTTGATGCATTCACTTTCCTTTCAAAGAATGAAATATTAGAGGTGACTCTCAAACACTGCAACCGAGAAAGGGCCTTTTTGCATCCAGTGACTCAATTACGTATTGACTACGGTGTTCAAAACTTCTACTTTAAGTTTAGATTTTAAATGGAAAACAAGTCGACTTACTGCTCTACATATTCACAAAATTTTCTGCACGTAGAAGATATAAATATCGCACACATTTCAGAAATTTTGTCGAATAATTTTTCCATTAGGACATCAAGAGAAGCAATCAGACTAAAACTTAGTGAATGAAGGTAAGTACTTTCTCAGATTAGCCATGCCACTACTTTTCCTCGCTTTTTCATTAATCATTATCCACAAAGTTAAACATACTTAATCTAAATGTTACACTGAACTCGTGTATTTAACCTGATAGTACCTCAGTAATTATAATTATCTTACCTGTTAAACTGTATGATGCAATGAAAAAAATTTCACTTCGAGACAGATGATCATTTCCTGGTTTTCCTTCGCAAGTCTAGTTGGAATGTTGATTCAGCCGTGGCACTCACCGGAAAATTCCTTCCTCCATCGGACCTTTGATGATTCCTTGTCGAATTAGCTTTGAACTGATTAAATATAAATGACACCATAAAGTGTCATTTATTAGTGAATCAGAGATCAAAGTATACATTTGAAGCTGCAAGAGCAGTAATTTCATCTGGCAAAACTGATCATGCACCTACATGCAAAACCTCCTTGAGACGGATCTGAGAAACTTTGAGTCACCAAAAGGAGGTATTCATATTCACTTATTCATTACGCACACAATTTTCTGCAACTGGTGGAATTTCTTTGCTAAATTACAACGCTTAAGAGAAGGTACTGCTAGTAGAAAATATGCGATAATACCTAACTAACCTACATTACCGGTGTATGCACTAGAGTGGTAACGCATAAAGAACAGACACGAACAAACACTGAAGGAAAGGGCAGGAGTGGATTAAGTTACTGTAGTCTCTAATTTACTTCTGAACTGTTAATTTGAAGAACCATAAGACACATCTTTGATGTGTAATCACTTGGTACGGACCAGAGGAACCGTGAACTGTAGGTAATCATATCGGTAAAGTTTGAGGGCTCAACAGGCTTTAATGCTAAAAAAAGGTGAACTTCAAACTCTTGTATGAATTCAAAACCACATACTTCAGATAAGGAAACTACAAAACACTTGATTTGAGGCGAAAATGAAAAGCGAATGATCCAAGAAAAGAATGTCTGGGTGTGAACTTATGAGAACTGACTTTCTGTTTCAGAATGCTCTGAATACACATCACAATGAGCCGATAGACTCTAGCTTAAGGTTGTAAAATACGATAAAACTGATTGTCAGATGCTTTGTAGAAGTCAGAAATGGTTTAAAGGTAAAGAAAATTAAAAGATTCCGAGTTGTTTGGATCCTTCCTGTTATCAATCTTCGTTTGTTTACGAGCCCGTCGTTCCCGATAGCCGATGCTCACTCGCGGTCGCCCGGTGAATAAATTTCGCGAACTTT